TTTGGTTGAGGGTGGAAATAAATTTTCAATGTATATTGTTCTTTGGAAAGGATTTATACTTGTGCTGATTTTTAAGTATTCAGCTTAGCTTCACCCCTTTTATGTTCATTCAACCTGGATTCTTGTCTAACTTGTAATTCTGTTAGCTTACCTATTGCTTTTCTGTGTGGTTTCATGTATGAACTGATTTTCTCAATATGCCACAGTTTTTTGTTTGCTTGAAAGTTTGTGCAACATGTTGAAAAATCTTTGCATATGAAACCTAATTAGGTATTCAGATAAAAGCCATCTTGATTAACGATTTCTGCTTTTACTAATTAGTTTTCGAATGTAAATTCTTTTACTGGATAGGTGTCAAAGACATTTGCGGAGGGCAAAATGCTTCTAGAAGACTATGTTTTAACTTTGAAGGCTCTAGCGGGGCTTGATGCTCTAGTTGAGGCTGTAGGGATTGGTAAAGGAAAGGAAGATCTCACAGTTTTCTCCACAGATTCTTCAAAGTCCAATCATGCACTTTCTGGCCGCCCAGAAATACCAGTGGGCAAGGCTTGCTCAATGCTTACACCCGCTGAAATAATAACTTTTCTAACAGGTGATTTCAGATTAAGCAAAGCTCGATCAAGTGATCTCTTCTGGGAAGCTGTCTGGCCGCGTTTACTTGCCAGAGGCTGGCACTCTGAGCAACCTGGCGGTCATAATTATGCTCTCCCATGTAAGAATTCTCTGGTCTTTCTTGTCCCTGGAGTCAAAAAGTATACAAGGAAACTGGTGAAGGGAAATCACTATTTCGATTCTGTTAGTGATGTCCTAGGTAAAGTTGCTTCAGATCCAGAGTTGATAGAGCTTGAGTCAGTAACTGACAATAATTGCAAAAGTCTGGAAGGAAATGGGTGGACAAATGAAACAAAACTGGACTTAGAAAATTCCACTGATCAGCAACGCCACTGTTATCTCAAGCCAAGAACTCCAAATCGTAGCATGGATGTATTGAAGTTTACTGTTGTGGACACAAGTCTGGCCAGTGAAAAGATGTCAAAGGTGAGAGAACTGAGAAGCTTACCAGTGGGAGTTTTACCTTCTGCATCTGAAAATGATTCTGACAATGAAGATACCTCGGAGGAGCATACAAACGAATCTGAATCTGTCAATACAATGTGCTGTGATAGGGAGAATGCTGCTATGGTTAAATCTACCAAAGGTAAAATTGGTAGGGAAGTCTCTACTGAGATTAATGACTTCAAAAATAACCCCTCAAGTGAGGGGCTTCCGGTGGGTTCCACTACCTCCAAGGAGCGGAAGACAGGTTTGTTTAGCAACACACACACAAAAAATTCAATGAAATTCCAATCAAGCTCAAGACAGGTTCTGGATGACAAAAATGTTATTGCCCCTGTTACGAAAAGACGAAGGAGATTAAGTGCCTGTAGCCGTGCAGAGAGAAATTGCAATGCTGCCAACATCTTTGTGGCTGCAAGAGTGAAACAAGAAGAGGCAAGTAGCTGTTGTGACAGTTCAAATTCTGACAAGATTGTTTTCTCGGGAGAAAATCCAATAGTGGAGAATAAAGAGATCGCTAATCCTCCGCCACAGGAGATCAAGACTTTTGCCGATCCTTCATTAAACACGAGTCAAATCAATAGCGGGGAAGCTGTTCCTGCAAGTAGCTCTTCTTGCCATGATGATCAACATGAGAAACCCCGGAAGCGGACCATGATTGACCTTAACATGCCTGTTTCAGCAGAAGCTGAAGCTGATGAACTTTGCAATGCCGAAACAAATGAGAGACAACATAATAACTCCAGGGAGGACACAGATGATTCCTGTGCAGCCACGATCTCCATTGCTGAGGATAACTCTGAGCAGCCTAACATGAACACCCGAAGGCAGAGCACAAGAAACAGACCACTGACAGCAAAAGTGCTGGAAGCTTTTGCCTTTGGATATCTGGACAGAAAGGAGAAGCGCAAAGGTAGGGATTATCTACTGGACAGTCCATCACCTAAACCTTCCCGACGTGTGCGTGGTAAAAAGTCAGGTGAGACTTCTACTAGCAGTGGAGCAGATTTCCAAAAGGAAGAAAGAACAAATGTTATGTGCAATGGTAATGGAGATGTGATTTTAACAGGCTTCAAGTCTAACGAAGGGTGAAGGGGCTGGACTCACCATGAGAAGATCTCTGCAGTCTTTTGCCCGGGAAGAATTGTAATCACTTATTCCCAATAACGTCATAGCACATGACATGAAAGGAGTCTTATCAGACTTTAATTTGGTACGGAACATACATGACCATAGATACAAACTTAAAAGAAAACGAAGACCATGGATCTCAAATCTCTGCCAGAGACTTCTTACACACGAGGCTCCTTGAGCTGCAAGGTACTTGAAAAGCCGAAACACAAGAAGGAAATGCTTGTGGTCTTCCCAGTTCTGAGCTTGAAAGCATAATAAAACTAGTCTTCCAAAGTTGTCTCATTTCTTAGTTTCAATTCCTGTCCCCATTCTCAGTTCCATGCCCTGTTATAAATAGAATACATAGCAATTCAATGCAGATTATGACTTTAGTTTTGTCTTTGTCCGAGAAAATATGCTGGAGAATGAGGTGTTTGAGATTATTGAACCCTGTGAATATTGACATGGGAAATGAGAGAGGAGCAGTTAGCAGCTAGCGTTAGACTTTTTACCTTCCTTTGGTGTGTCCGCGAGTTCTTCAGGTTGACACCAACCATTCAGTATACATACATGCATGTATATATATGGGGTCATTTTTCCATTCGTAGCTGATGAGAATTTGCATTTGTTCTTGCTAATTTCCTCTGGATTTTTTAAAACAAATATTTGTTAAAACCAATATATTGTTGCTTATTCATCTAGAGGCAGTTCGTGCTGGTGGAAGAGAGTGGGATAGCGTGAGTAGTGCTGTAGTTTTGAATCTAAAACTACAAATATTACATCCTACGTAATAAATTGGCTTTATCATCATTATCATAATAATTTTTAAGAATTCAATATTTTAATTTCAATCAAAATTTTAAAGGGAAAATCTTAATTAAATCCTGCTGAAATACTTAAATTTAAATTGAAGCCTACATTTTTAACAAATTCTTAATAAGGACATAAGACCTAATTAGGAATTGCTGAATATTGTTAAATAATTATAATGCCCCTCTTTAGTTAAAAATGAAAATTGATTATTTTATCCCTCTAGAGTGGTTCATCATCTCTTATTATTAATATTTAGACAAAAAAATATAAATAATTTTTTAGTGTTTGAAATTTTGTAATATAACTAAAATCTTCAAAATATTTTCATAAACATTTCAAATTATAATATAAGTAATCTTTAAATAAATATTTTTTTAGGTTGTAAATATTTATTTTAAAATTTTAAAATATTTTAATTATAATAAAAATTTAATATTAAATCGTAATCATTTACATTTTCAGTTGGATTGTTTAAATAAATAAAACTAACGTAAATTATAAAAACTGAAAATAAAAAAAAATTATTTAAACTTTACTTATATTTATATTTTTACTTATATTTGTAATTTAACATGTTTTATTAAAATATTTTTAATAGTGTAAGTTATATATACAAATTTCAAACATCGTAAAATTACTTATATGGTTTTTGGTCTAAAAAAATCATAAGAGATAAGGAATTACTTAGGAGAGGTATATTAATCAAATTTTCTTTTTAATTGAAGAAGGGCATTCTCGTTATTTAACAACATCTAAAAATCCCTAATTAGATCTCATGGTCTAATTAGGAATTTGTTAAAAGTACAGGCCTAAATCTAAATTTAGGTATTTCGGCTGGATTTAATTGGGATTCTCCCAATTTTAAATTAAGTTTTAAACATAATAATATGTAAAAGATAATGCAAAATTATCAAGTATTTATAAATGGGTAGGCTTCATCCGGCATTTTGAAGTATTTTTCTAGTACATTCAATCCAAGTATAATGACCCATCCAATACCATAAAGTAGTACTTTATCATTATGTTAATAAAGTTTTGATCCCAAATCAGGAACTCTTATAAAAATGTGTTGTTATTTCCTTATTAAATGTAGCCAAAACCTATTAAACTATAGAAAATAAGACTGACTTGAAATTTAGTATTTTCCGAGTTTTCTGTTTTTTTTTTGGATTTTCCCTTATTTTTAAACACCAAAATTGTTTTATTTTGTTATATTAATAAATTTTTTATCCTTAACCATACTGACTTAAATTTTACTTTATCCTTGTCGCATGATTTCACATTAAATAACTTAACAATTTTAATTTTTTAAAATAAATATGTTATCATCTTATGAAATCTTTTTTGCGCGAATCTAATTAAATATCTCGATTATACATATTTTTCATTTTCAGTTAAAAATTTAATCGTCAAAGATAAAAAGGGTCTAATTTAAGGTATTTTAATGATCAAATCATTATCATCACCATTTTACCAACATCCCACGCTTTACGTAAGAGGCTCGGTTGGATCATGTTGTTGGAGAAAACAATAATGAGAAAAGCTATAATTAAATTAAACAATAATTGAACCGCTTTGCATTAAACACTTTTTTAAATCTTATTTAAACATGAGGTTATTATGATTCTGTTTGGAATCACAATTAAAGTCACTTGTAAACACATTTTATGTAAATCAAGACAAAAACTCTACTCATATAATTATCTCGTACTTTATAAATCACGATTGAAAAGATACTTATAAATTATTCTAAACGAGTCTTGTATGTTTAATTCTTTGGTAAGTTTATTTTTTACCAAGTGAATGGTGACAGAAAGAACGCTACCTAATTCGGTACTGGCTTAAATGTGGATTTTCGAAGTTAGTGAGTTGATTAACCGATAAAGTACCATTTAGTAGCTAATACCTTTTTGCCTTTTGGACAGAAGAGGAAGAAAAACGACTGTGCATTATGGCCGCACAGGGGCGAGACAGAGCTATAAATATAGCGTTGGAGGACTCGAGTAAGAGCGGGACGTGGCGTACGAAAGATGGGTCAGGCGTTTCGTCGAGCATCTGGAAGATTCCAAGCTCCTTCTGCTGCTGATACGATGCCGTCGAAACTCAAGAGCGGCTTCGATCGGAGGCCTCCACCTCCTGGCAAGCCGGAGATCACGAAGTCCGGCGAACAAGATGCAGTGGAAGCGGGTAAGTACACGTGTGCCAAGGGATTGTGGAACAGTTTGCTCCTTTCACTTAATTTCTGTTTTGTATATACAAGCATGTTGTAATTGCCGCAGCTGGTGGATTATCCTGACAATTTGATGCTCTGTTTCATTGCTGACGATAACTTTGAACAATGTGAGAGGCCACTGAATGTCGAGTTTTTTTTTCCAAATTAACTTTTGTAATTGATATATATTTGATTCTTTGTCGTCACTTGTCTGTTTTCCTGAGGGCTTACCGAGGATTTTCGTATTAGGTTTTTGAAACAAGCCAATTTTTTATGTTTGTCTGAGTTGTTTATTGTTGCTGTTGCTACTTACCATTTCATTGTGGCTGATAGTATTGTTATTGTTCTTGCCTCAAGGTAGTCGTCCTAGGATTAATGCTGACAACGTCTTGGAAGAAAGAGATCCTAAATTTGATTCTATGCTTGGTCAAATGGTTGGTAGAATTACATCAAAGCCTGGAGGGAAACTTGAGATGGGCGAGGTGAGTTCATGAATGTTTCCACTCCATACATAAAATAGTAATTTTGAAGCCTCTCTACAATAATGGGACTATGAGCTTCCCACTACAGGAAAAAGGGAATTGAATACTCAGTACTATCATATATGTTGATCTTGGTATGCTGACTTAGTAAAAAGAGTTAATTAAGCTCAGGTCCAAGGGAATCACCTGCCTGTATAATGCTTGATATCTCTCAAGGACATAAAATCTTTCAATAAATTCAACATTGGCAGTATGTTACTGATTGATACCTATCTCAATGTTTAAAAAAAAAAAATTCTTGGCTGTTAATAAGCAAAATAGATGTAACCTGGTTGACAGCTGCACCGTAATTTCAGCATCAACACTTGTAGCTCATGGTATATTTCCTTGTCTACTAGTGAAACTAGGATATTATCATTGGCGTTCAACAGATTTCAGAAATTTATTTGGGGTTACTCTACCTTCTAACTGATACAAGTTCACAAAATGCTGTGGTCAATAGTGACTAACACAGGCTGAAGTGTTGCGCCTGACATAAGGAAAAGTTAAACACAGCCTGAATCGCAAAGCATGTCCTGCTATTATTTGTTTTGTTAGGACAAGCTCATCTTGTGGTTTGATTTAATGGTTACAGGCTGTGGTACAGAAATATAAGAGGCCTATGCCAAAACTGCGAAACACAAATCTGGAATCTGGCAGGTACGAGGAAAGGCCTGTTCCTTCAGGCACCTTAAATGTGGCACAGTTAAGGCATGTCATCCTCCTTCATGAAGGCAAGGCTGATGATCACGACGGACGAATGGATGTCCAGCAGATTGCTGAAAGATTCCAGGTTGATAATGTGCAGATTCAAAAGATCTTGCAGTTCCTATCACTCCCTCTTGAAGATATCAATAGAGAAAAGAACAGACCGGGAAGCTGAGTGACCTTGAGAGAACTATTGACAGAGCCAGTTCTAAACAGGTTTGAAGACTAAATGGGGTCTTACCCTTTGGAAAATGATTAAAATCTTCCACAGAAGCTCGAATGTGATACTGTGAATCTGAGGTGTTTATCGACTTCTAGGCGACTGTGTTGTTCTGTTATCACGGAAAAGCCCAAGTACTTGAATTTTGTTAGGATTATTTCCATGTCCAGAAAAGTTGGTCATAGTCATGGATATTTCATCTAGGGGGAAGTTTTAACGACCCGCAAACCAATGTTTGATTTCGTGTTCGTTCATTCTTCAGGCTTATAATGCCAAGGAATCTGACTCGAGCTGTGCTTTCAGGAGAATAAGAAACGAGGGAGTTTTGCCTGGCAACATATCGTGTGTTGTTTGCTTTGTATTTACGTAAAGATTCTTGGATAATTAGTCTTGCCGCCAACAGGTTGAGCGTCCCTGTCCACCCATATGCAAGGGTGGTTAATTTTCTTCATCTTTTAAGGTAATGAAGAAAAAACCGAAGTGCGTGCTAACCATGTCTATATCCAATTCGAAGTTGACTATGAATGGAAACAAGGTCAAAACTGCATTCATTTTTGTCAATCCAAATGTACCTCCAGCAGTGGGGGAAAGTGCGGTTCTTTGTTGTAACTTCGTTCAAGGATAGAAATGGCGAATTAAATAAAACCACGTGTACCTCGCTCTATCATGGAACATCAAATACTGCTTCCCGTTCTTAATATAAAAGTTAGTTGACTAATTTGAATAGATTAATAAAACTAATTTAGTTATATGTAATAAATAGGCATTATGTTTCCTAAAACATCCTTATTTGCTTTTAAAAAAAAAGATAGATATGAGAGACAAAATAGATTGGCGTTTTATAATTGAGATCAAAATAAAAATCAAATGAGGTCTTATAATTAGAACTGGAAGTAGTATTTTTTACATGCTCGTGTGTATTTAAGAAGAATAATAATACGAACACAGAACCCAACTAAAGGTGTGTTTGGATTAGCGGTGGAGTAGTAATTTTTTTTACAATCTGACTTTCACGGATAAAAGTCAAGTAGTATAATGCAATTTATGTTTAAATTGGTTTTTATAAAGAAATCAGTTTGAGCAGTTAAAACTTGATTAGATGAGTAATTAAAAAAAGCAAGTTTAGATATAAAATGACTGAAAAGGATATAAATTTTATTAAATGACATATATATTATGTACATAATGTGAAAATTTTAAGAGAAATATTAAAATTAACAAATTATAAAAATAAAAATAGTTCTAAAGTACTTAATTAGATATGTTTAATGGATAAAAAAAGTATATAAATTTTAAATAATAAAAATAAATACAATAAAAAGATACAAATATATTTGAATAATCTCTTGAGATTAGAGATATTTGGACTAACTTAGCTGAATAAAAGACTTTAGATAATAAAATAACAAACAAAAAGATATCTTAACAGAAAATAAAGAAGGTTCTGACACTTTTTTTAAACCTCAAAATCTCTAATCAATTCACTCCTCACTCCATTGCCTACCTTCTCCATCCCTCCCCAACCTTGCCTCTGTCAATTTGTCCCTGATGGTAGCAATAATAATCATTCACGACTTCTTCCCATTTCAGCATCTCAAAATCCCTCTCAAACCTCAACGTCTCAAAATCCCTCTCCCCACCTCAGCGTCTCATAATCATTCATAGACCCACCACTGTATCTCTGAGATTCTTTGCTTCTTTTCTAGCAAAGAAAAACAGAGCATCTCATAATCATTTGCAGAAAAAAAGTTTGTTAATTTTCATCTTGTCTTTGGGTAGAAGGACAACTTGGATAGGTAACAAATTTAAGGAGCTCATGATGTTGCCGCACCATAATGTACTGAAAAAACCACTTTTGGTAGCTTCTGCTCCACCGTGCAATAGAAAAGAAAAGGACTTCTTAGACAATTGCGGATCCAAACAAGATAAATGGTCATAAGTTTTTTGCAGTGTAGAAATTACTTTTGGAGTCACTAATGTGATCCCAAACACACCCTAAAGCAACATGTCAACACCATTACAAACTTGGTCTTTGCCGTGAAATTCAACCCACTTGACTAATAAAAAAGAAAAAGGATAGACACACTATGGTTCCACTGTTCCGGGAAATTTGCCACTCGACTAATCAAGAAGAAAAAAATACACCAAAAAAATGTGGACGCACTATTTTGCAAAATTTGCTTTTGATTTGCTTTTGGATATCAAAATCAATATTCAATTCAACTTACAATAACAAATCACAATTATAAAATAATAAATAAACACTCATTTCTCAAACTCAATGTATGAAAAAAAAAAAAAATTGACATCAATACTAAGAGCCATTTGAACCGTATGAATCTACCATTGACAGTTTCCACAGGGATAAAGAAAAAAAAGAAAAAGAAAAAACAGTATACTATGATCAGCTTTGTCTATGAACTTCCCTCCATCATAAGAACCACTTGTCATCTTATCAGCTTCACCCATACGAGTATGACTAGAGTAAATCAGCATGTTCATCTTGCTTTCTTCCTATCCTATGAGGGATTTAACAATCTAAACTTCTAGAGCTTGGCCAAAAAATGATTTGAATAATCATAGAAAAAATATAAGTGTCAAAAATCATGCCAGTATGGACTCCAACCAATCTGAAGTCAATTCATACGCAACAAATGTTACAGCACCTGCAGGTGCAGCTTTTATAGTTGAAGGGACAATCCCCTTGTATAGGCCAGCCCAACCCTCCAACAGTAGTATCCGTTGCATAGCATCAAGCATGTTTCGGTATGCACGATGCTCGACTCGAGCTCCATATCTCGGATGCCTTTGAAGACCTTCAATCTGCAGAAAATGATGATTAATGATGAAGCATCAAACAGGCTGATAACCTATGTCATGTCTTTTGAATGTCATCGTATGCTTGTTTCAGACGACACAAAAGGCATCAATTTCGAAGAATAAGGTCAACACCAGTTTATTTGATATTTAGTCACATGGTGCTAGTAACAGGGAATAAAAATGGAGAAGGCTTATATCAGATATTTTAAGTGTTTGCTTCCAGATTTTTCAATGAAAGTATGAATGTAAATATTTTTATCAATTTGACAGCACATTACTAACTCCATCAAAATAGCTCCTCCACATGTCAACTTTTAATTGAAAAGGCTAATGCCAAATATCTAAATCAAAATTTTGTCGTTCAAAAACTCGTAGAGATCTACCTGAAATCTTTTCTTCACCACATCAAGTGGATGACAGACGAGTTTGGCACACGTCCCAGCGGCCAGTCCACAAATAAAAAGCTGAAAGCTAGAGAGGCCATCTTCTATAGAGGACAAGCTTGTATTGGAATATCTGTAACGATTCCATGCCTATAATAACAGTGTATGACCCAAAAAAATACGTAAGTTCCAAAAATTTGCTCACAAAGAGAAAAACCAAAAAGGAATATCCATCGGCACGGGAGATGAATCCAACAACTAAATCCTTCATGAGATTACCAGAAGAGGAAAACTAAATATATTTAAAATTCTGCGGTGAGATAATTCCCACTTGACCTTTCTGCCACTATTTTGCACCAATTTCATTTTAAATGAACAAAATGAGGATCTTATACAAGATACAAGGCATAATTAATCACACGGACACGCTACAATTCAGACTAGCAGAAACTGCTGTCAATGGCTTCATTATGAATGCATATAACTTGATTTGTGTGCGCATGACAGGAGTCATGTAAATCATACAGTAATTCATAGATATAGAAGAATTAAGCATCTCTATCTACAATGGAGATTTCACATTGAGCGAGAGAAACCTTAAAGAGCACTCAGACAATTATTGGATAAAAAGGTGCATAAAAAGCAAGAATAAGCTGCAGTGCAGGGTCATACAAAATCCCCAAGTCAACTTCACAATTACTTAAATAAGATTAATGCATGCAAGGCATAGTGACAACTAATAGGGAAAAAACATCAGCAGAAAAGACTGGAATTTTACCATGGTCCAACGCTTAAATGTATCATAGGTGCCAAATTGTAGGCCTGCATAGGGTATAATCTCAACTAGTGTAGGTGATAATCCAGCATACAAGCCTTGTAAGCCACGAGTCCTGACTATATCAAGGAATGCTGATCTCATATTTGGATATACCTGAACGGCAGAAAATATTTACAGAGCATCATTACAAAAATCAGGTCCACAAACACCACGTCAACCTCCAATTGGAAGCAAGAAAAAAAATGGAATTTTGTCAAGCACAAATGCGCGGGGCAGCAAACTTTTGGCATCTCAATATTTAAAGGGATTAAAGTTAGACTTGTAGGGCATAGGCCAATGGAAATAAATGATGGCATAAAAAAAACTATATTGGGAAATTTAACTAATTAGACAATGCATCTAATAAGTAAATAAAGTTTATACCTTGGGTTCACCTTGAGAAGCCAATATAGTTCGGAGCAGATCAAAGGGATATGACCCTACGGTAGCCGCACACCCAGCTAATGCCCCGCTGACATAGGATAAATATGGGCTCAAATGAATGTGATTCTCTGCAGCAACAGAAGATATGTGATAACGACATAAACCTTTAGTTAGAAAAAAATTCAGGACACTCTTAGTAAATAATATCTCTAAAATGAGCAATGGAATGGGTTTTGACCAGCACATATACTATATGCATACAATTATACTACCAACAGCATTCTTCTCTAAACTACTTAATGCATTAGCAAACTATAGTTTAGCAAGAGCAAGATATTGGAATAAATATGAGTTTATGGACTTATCCTTTTAAAGCAATAATTGATAATGATGACATAAACAAACAACTAATTGCCAACAAAATAACCTAACAGACACCTGGCATACCAATTCAGATCGCTTATTAAAGCTCAAATGCTCAAGTCCACTGGACAACAATTGAATTACAAAACACATACCTGTCTTGGAAGAACCAGATGCGAAAGTCTTCAACTTATGTAAAACTGTAAATTGTATGGCCGTATATGGCATAACCATGAGTAATGCTGGCACATTGCCCCGCCAAAAACCCTGAAACAAACAATTTAAGGACAGTAAGACGTGTCACAGTAAAAACAAATAAATAATCTGTATTTTGTCTCCAGACAAAAGGAAAAAACATGTCATCAAACTTGAAGGAGGGATTTTGAGATCTCCAAAGCCATCACTTAAACAACCAAGCCAATAGCCAGCTTTTGTAAGGAGAATAGGAAGGTGAACATTATAACTTATTCTTTTATTTAACGCATGCACGAGCATATTTTGCATCTCTCGATAAGAAAATGAAGAAGTAGAAAAGAAACCATTTGATTGGGATCACTAGGTGCATTGCTTGGAAAAAAACACCTAACAATTTAAAGTTTCCAAAAGAATCACGCTAGAAGTAAATCGACCAGAAGAGATCATGTTCAATGTGCTTTTCAGATCAAAAATATTTTAAGATATTGCAGAGAAATTGTTGCAAATAACTGCATAGGAAAAAGAGGAACATGAGTCTGCTGCTTTGAAGCTGCGTGAGGCATGATTACATTGAGGTGATGCGTGGGTACATTTGAACAAACAATGTATATTTTGGTTTAATCATGCAAGTATATCACTTTTGTTAACATCATACATTTATTGATATATTATGGATTTTGTTTTTAAAAGCATGCAAGTGGAAGAACAATATATGTACGTATAATTATAATATATAGTCATAAGCATGCTCATTTTCCAATACATTGAAGGAGTCGAGGAAAAATTAAACAATGATAAAAGAAGCTGAGCTTTCCTACCTTTATGCCTTCCTCTCTAAAAATATCTTTACTTGCTTGAACTATCCCAGTATATTTTGATGGTACATACAATTGCTTTCGTAGTGAAGCCCGTGATGATGTGGGTTCTAGTTGAACCTATAAAGAAATGAGGGGAGGAAGGAAAAAAGGCATCTTCAGCTTATTGCTCAACTTGAAAGCAGACAACAAAAAACGGCTGCAAATCTAACAATCAAAATAAGGCAAAACTGAAATACACAATACATTTAATATTACAGGTATATAGAAAAACCACAATGACAAGCAACTATTTCTAACGAAAGGTGACAAATTAAATCAACTTTATGTTCATAAAGTACCCACCTCTTGTCAGCAATTCACACCATACTCTTATTCAAGCTATATTGCCTAGCTTATAAGATACAAGATCTGCCTCAAGCAACTGCCAGATGGCCATAAACCGTATTATTAGGGAGCTAATCTGTTCGAATAAAATTAACTTTCCAAACCATGTCTAAGCCCACAGTTTATACATTCGAACGATGTGGAAATTGATTACAATCGTTGAAAAGAAACATGTGACCATTAAAAGTTTTGCCGGGCAATAGCTAATATTCCCTCTTACCTCCACCATCCCTCCACCTAAACAGAAGAGAAAAGAAAAGTAGAAGAAGGAGGAGATTCAAATCCCAGTATTACTGAGTCATATTTATCTGTCTTATTCTTTTTCCAGCTGCCACGCTACCAGCCTACCACTCCTCGTGGAGTTTCTAGCAGCTTTAACAACAGACAGCACTCAATAGCGACGGAGGATTCATGGGCATGAAGTATAGCTTGAAATTACCCAGACGAAATAACTTAAAATTCACGGTCAAAAAGAGGCAACGAACCAGAACTGACCTGGAATCGAATCTTAATAACATCAAGCGGCGATGTCACTGTCCGTGATATACCACCCGAGATTGCCCCAGCCGAAGCATCAACAATAGCCCGCTTCACATTGTTCGGCTCGCCCATTGCCGATAATACACCTACCTTCCTTTCACGCTACAACCTGCCAAAAGACCGCCTCAAGTTCAAGAAATCTGTCACCAGAAATCTCACAGCACCGATGAAAAAAATAACAAAATAAAGGAAGAAAGAAACCAACGTCAACAATGCCAGAGAATAAGAAGTATATATGAAGAAGGGACCAATTGTATCACGAACGATCAGCTGCAGCCTGTTACAGATGCTCCAGAAAACTAGGGTTCCTATTCCATGACGCAAGATCACCGAGAATTACAGAACTCAAGTTCAGAGACAACAAAGCGTCAAGAAGCTTGTGAACAATTGATACAATATCAGCTAATGCTTTACCTCAAGTCAAGGAAGGAGGAGGAGGCTACGGAGCATAAAGCCCACATTCAAATAGGGATGAAGAAAAAAAGGCAGGGCCTTTTGTTGCCGCCTTATTTGATTGAGAAAACCTGAAAGAAAATAACAGGAAGGGTCGTCTTCTTCAGGACGGATGAACTAGCTTTGCAAGATTCTGACTACGGGAAGATGGTTGAAAACCGTAAGTTTTGACTGCAGATGTAAGAGTTTTTAAGCGTTAGCCTAATCACATGTTTTGATTGCAGGACCGACTCTTATTTTTCTAGGTTAATATGACAATTTATTTGGGCCAAAAGATCTTGGAATTTAATGCTATCTGGCACTGGTATCTACTGTATTTTTAAAAATATTTATAATATAAAACAAATTATAGGTTTTATATTAAAAATTAAAGGTAATGTATTAAATTAATTACAAGTTAGCACCTCCAGTATCAATTATAAGAACTAGTTGACTAATTTGAGAAGATTAAGGAAAGAAGTTAAATTAGTTATTTGTAATAAATAGATGTTAACTTTCTAAAAATATCCTTGCTAATCATGTGTATTAGTTAGAATTACCATTATTAGAATGACTAAAAAAATACATAAATATGATAGACAAAGTAGATTATGGTCTTATATTTAAAATCAAAATAAAAATCAAATAAGATATTATATTAAGGATCAGAGGTAGTATAACTAACAAGATTGAGATTAAGAAGGTATTTAGTTTAATTTACTTGAAGTAATTTTTATTATATAAGATAAATATATAAAAGAAATTTTGTTAAGTAAAATGCAAAAGATAATTTTTAAAAGTGCTCAAATCACTTTTAATATCATTACTTTTTCAATCTTTAATGTAAGACCTAATTAACTAATTTCAGAAGATTAAAAATGTTAGTTAAATTAGTAAATATTAGTTAAATTAGTTAATATGATACTACCTCCGGTCCTTAATATAAGACCTCGTTTGACTTTTATTTTGGTTCTAAATATAAAACCTCAATTCACGTTGTCCCTCATATTTATGTATTTTTTTTCAAGGGAGTCCTTCTAGCAATAGTAATTCTAACCAATATACTTGATTAGTAAGGATATTTTAGAAAAAACAACACATATTTATTACAAATAACTAACTTAACTTCTTTCCTTAATCTCATCAAATTAGTCAACTAACTCTTATAATTATGACCGGAAGTAGTATGTTTTTCTGACTTACTTTAAGCATTTTTCTCAATTTTCTCATAATAAAATTATATATATTGAGATTAATTAAAACTTTTGAAAAGAGATTAAGGAATATTGGGATAAAAAGGTTTAAAGTTTAACTAAAGCGAATTATAGCTCATGACTTCAAAACAAATTTACGTATATTATGAAGCACGAATATGTTTTATAACTTCAATAAATTAATAAAAGTTTATATTATTAAAGTAAACACTCTTAATTAATGAAGAAAAAGATTAGACATATGATAATTGTTTTAACTAAGTGGAAAATAAACAAAATTAAATTGTTACGCTTTGTTTGACCATTTTATCATGAGCTTACCTACCCTTCATTAAAACTAAATCGTGGCAGCCTTTAGCAAATGCCAAAGGCCAACAACATCACATCGGATAATGTATTGTTAGTTAATTACATGAAGTGGTGTAATCCTCTAAAAAGCATTGAGCTGTGTGATGAATAAAAAATTCACAGAAAAAAAAATTCAAAAGGCTCTTTTCGTAACTGAAAATAAAAACTTTAATGAAGAAATGGTGGGATGAAAGGGGATGACCATCATGTTCTTTATTCCAATTTCATATTTTTCAATCTATTTATTTCAATTACGTAGAATTCTAAAATGGAATACAAAAAAAAATTAAAATTACTAATTGTAAAATCAAGTTTTTTAACCAAAAATTCCAAATCAAGATTGTCAAAATTTAAAGTTTTAATTTTAGTTTCTTTTGTTAATAACATTAATCGTATTGAGATTAGATTATTAAAAATACATTTTATAAAGTTAAGAAACAGAAATGAGAAATTGTATAAAATTAAAAGAATGAAATTCTAATTTTTCTATAAAGCCATTGTGAAGGCACTTTTATAGCAATAATCAATACCTTCAGGTTTAACGTTAGAGTTCTCTCTGAAATTTTTTTTAATTTTATAATGCATTGAATACAACAAGCAAGTGGGTCTTTAGGATAAGTGTTCCACTTTGAAGGCACTTTCTTTTGCATGGCCACTAGCCATTCACCTTTGAATTGATGGACATAATTTATCTTGTAAAAGTGCTCTAAGCCATGGAAATTGGGAGGTTTTGTCATCAGAAAAAATTTGTAGTTTCCTTTGGAATCTAGAAAGTGGTTGACCCATGACTATCCTTTTTTTTTCATTTTTTTATTATCATATAAAAAATGAGAAGATAGAAAAACTGCCCACTTAAATTATTTATAGCTTTTACAGAGTATAAATTTTATAGTTAATAAATAACATCCATGATTAGTTTTATGGTGCTTGTTGCTTGTTGGGTTTGCAATTTGATGGGTGCAGACATTCTGGATTACTTAATTATTTTTCGTAATTACTGTTTAAAAAGAAATTTCCATAAAAGAAGTTTATTTCTTCCTGGTCAATATCAGCCTATTGCTGGTATTATTTTTTGACCTCCAAATTTCATAATCGAAATCAACTTTTTTCTTTTTTTGCCCTTTCTGTTTTTGGGGACAGGAACCGACTTTTTCTTTTCCTTTAATGGTGGAGAATCCATATCCATGGTATTCTTTTAGCAATTATATGAAACCCAGATTATCTGTAAAAGGACCTAATCATGAGTCTAGAGTGATTTTTTAAAATATTTTATAAAATACAAAAGAAAACTGCTACCTCTAGACCTATTTATAAGAAACAATTATAGTCAATTTGACCGTAACATTTTTTTAACAAATAGGTCTAGATGTCTTTTTTTTATTTTTTAGTAAAAGCATATATTATGTCTTCTAAATTTACATCAAATTTTATTCTAATTATTTAAGTCTATAAAGTATATTTTCAGTCGGCTATGCTCATTGACATCAAATGCTAACTCATCTAATTTACATGATGAATCTGCTATTCAATGCTTACAAAAGCATGTTTAATTTTAATCTTTTTAATATAATATTTTTGTATTTTAAAACTCAGAGGAAGTATAAATTACACATTATATATATGTAGATATAATAAGAGGGTAAGCCTTAAAGCAGCATTAAAGTGACCTCTATGTGATCAGGAGGTCACAAGTTTAAGGGTCCGTTTAGATTAGCGATTGGAAAAGTAGCTTATTGTCAATTTGACTTATGAAAAAGTGAAGTTGGGTAAAAGTTAAATTGGATAAACTGAATTATGTTTGAATTTAAATTCAGAAAAGTTAGTTTGCAAAAGTAGGATTCATAAAAAGTTATTTGCATTATGGTTGAGTAAAAGTAAGTTTAGTTGTAAAATGACTAAAATGAGTATAAGTTTTAATAAATAATGAAGCATGATTAAAAAATGATTTCACATAATACAATGAAATTAAAATAATTAGATATTTAATGAATAAAGTATATTTAAATTAGAAATATTGTAAAATTTTTAAATCAAATAATACTTCCTAATTATGAAAATTCAAATTCAAATTTTGCATAGATATCAAGTTTAATCTCAAATTAAGTGGTTGTCTTTTATATATTGAAAAAAAAAATACAAAACAAAAAACATGCTATATAATTAAATGACACACACAGACAGGAGCATCAAGGGAAAAACCAAAAACCAAAACGCATCATCTACTTCTGCGATTGTGCTTTTGTTCTTCCATCTTGTGACCCATAAGTCAAATATCCCAGACGCTTATCCAAACATCTCATAACATGTGAAAAGTGCTTTTGAGCTTAAAAACTACTTAACCGCTGCTGAAATGTGAATCCAAACGGTCACTAAATTTTGAAGACGCTGGACAGAAATGTATACATTTATTTATGCTCAAACTCCATGTAGTGAGAGCGCCTTTATATACTTGGCGCGCTTTATATAGATATGATACTACTTCCGGTTTTTTATATAAGATCTTGTTTAATTTTTATTTTGATAATAAATAACTTAACTAGTTTTTTAATGTATTCAAATTAATCAATTAACTCTTATACTAAAGACAGGGGATAGTAAAGTGTGTATAAATAGAAGCCTAGATCATAGCCGTCCATCCAAGGATAAGAGAGCAGGTTGTTTCATTCTGAGAGTCCAATAATTTCACAAAAACGAATGCAACTTGACCTTGACGATACTCTCCTGTGTTTGCGTTTTTGAGTGTTGATGGGTCAATCGCATTGAGCACACCTACCATACCTCCAAAGGACTCTGTTCCGTTCCGTTCCATCCACTGGGGCCAGACAATAAGAGATATATAACTCAACCGCAGAGCGTCGCTTTCACGCTATCGTGATTTTCATTTTTATATTAACTAATTTAAAAAATTAAAAAAAATTATTAAATTTTTTTACCTAATTATAGTATATATTATATGATTCCTTTAAAATATTTATATACATCATCAGATTATATATTGATTTATAAGCAGGGTAAGTTAATTTTGAAAAATAGTAAATATAAGTATTTAAAGTAATTTAGTTATTCTTTAATTTTTTTAAATTAATCAAGCGGGTATTAAATTGAAGACAAAAACGTAGTTCATAAAAACAATCAAATAGCATAGAGATTTGTTCTAGGAGGGACCAAGCATACGCACGAAAGGCAAATACTAAGGGGACAAAATCAATGGACATGTGTTTTGTCTTTATGCGTGCCTTGTTCCCTCCACCCAGCATTAGTATCGTGTTAGGTGCTATCTGATTTCTACTATTCACCTGATAACTTCCCAAACCTACCTTCAATCTGAAATGGACCACAGATTTGAGTTTAAGATAAAAATTAATTTATTCAAATTAGTAAATTAATTTCAACCCATGTTGCTCCAATCCACGATATATATATTTTAGCTATCTCACATGAACTAAAAATATTATAAGGCAGATCAAAATTTTTTTTAATTCTATTTATAAATCACATTATTAAATTTATAATATAGATGTATTATTTTACTTTTTATTTATTATTTTGTATATTATTATTTTTAATATATATATTAAGTAGGGATAAAGTTGAAAAATTGTTAAACTATAGGGTAGAGTTAAT